AACAACAAATTTTTATGTTAGCAAATTCTCATCAGCCCTGTATCTGCATAATGTGGGCTTGAAGACATCTATGTCCTTAGGATAAATGAAAACATCTTGAAATCGAAGATAGGAAATCCAGAAATGGGGGGAGAATAAGTGCATTTGTGAGCACCGGTCCTGAACAGGCAGGTTGAGGGGCTGGACTATCAATTGAGCAAAACCTCAATTACAGAGTTATCTAATGTATACCCAGGTACATTATCACAACTCAATAAACAGCTCTTCAGAATTAAGTAATTCCAATTTGCTTTCATTTTGATCTGCGTCGCCCTGAGAATTTGATATTACCTACGCTCAAATTAGGTGGGATCTTCTGAAGCACTGAAGCTCATAATCCCAGGACAGCACGTGAAGCAGCAGTTATCCAGCCAGCAACATGCCTATTTAGAGAGAGACTTTGCTTGGCACGGCACAGGCACCTGTAATGGACACCGTCAGAGGGGGCTCCACCCAGCTCCGGGTGCCCTTGGGCACTGAGGGGCCCTGTGACCTCCCAAATGCAATATGGTCCAAGCTCTGAATGAGTGATGCCATGCAGTCAGATGGCTGAGCTTAAGAAGGATCAGCTACTTGTCCTTTGTCCCCAGATTCTTGGCTCACCAGTGATGAGACACAGGAGGGGACCCAGAGCATCAGACCTGGCATGGACCTCGTGACCCAAACCCAATGGCCCATGACCCAAACTTGTCAACCCAAATAAACCCGCATGTCAGCACCCACTTTTGTATCTCCTCCCTCCCTTTCCTCATGCTCAGCACATGACTCTATGGGGAGAGACCACCAGTCTGCCTTTGCAGAGGAGGCCTTTAAGGATTTCTCCAGGTCCAGAGAGACAGCAATCAAACCGCCACCGGGTCATGCATCCTATCTTCACACACCCACCCAGCCCTCACCATCTCTTACTTTCTCACCTAGGAAATCCCATGGACCACAGCTATTTATTTAAGAAACACTTTGAAGAGCAACGAGCCAGGCACTGTTATAAGAACTTCTGCATCCATTGTCTCATCGAATCCTCTAGCTGACCACACACCATTCTGAGGTAGGTAATCCCACATCCCTACTCCCAGATGAGCCAGCTCTACCAGAAGAGGTCAAGGTCACAGAGCTGGGACAAGATGGGGCCAGGATTTGAACTCGTGCATCAGGGCTCTAGAGTCTTCTTCTGTCTCTGAATTGGAATGAAATGAGGAAAACCTGAGGGAAAACGTGCCCAGGGCTGGTTTTCCTTCCACAACATGCTGAGGTCAGCTGCCTGCCCCTCAGCACTCACCATCTGTGTGACGTGTAAACCACGATCAGGAAGTTACATTTGGGCAGGCGCCCCATCCCAAGAGAAAACTTAGCCCTTGAGACTATTTTTGTTTTCTCAAATTTCTCCATTCCCTGAAAGAAGGAAGATTTATGTTTATCCCTTGCTGGGTCTTTTTTAAGTGAAAATATTTCAGTACGAAAGTATCTAGCCATCCTGCTCAGTCATGGCCAAGGATTCAAAGAGGCCAGTGAGTCACTCTTCCAAAGACACTTCCCCCACCCAGATGCTGCCTTCACATGGGTTCCTGGCCAGACATCACTGCTGCTTCTGGGTGCCTCCTGCCCTTCATTTTCTTATTTGGCTCGGTTACCATTAGCTATTTAGGAGTATGTGGGTAAAAAAGACTTAGATCCATTTCTCCTGGAATCTGGAAGGTATTAAGCACTCCGCTCCAGAGAGGGGTGCGGGGGGCGGGGGGGGGGAGGGCATAGAGCAGCAATGGAGAAAGCAGGAGTTAAAAGGCCAAGTTAGCGACAGGTCCAGAGACTCTTGTCATGAGTTTTGCATACAGTCTGGACGCCTTCAACACTGTTTAGGACATCACGACACCAGGTGCCAACAAGGTCACAACCCCGAGGACCTCCAAGGATGGCTGAAATAGCACAAACCAACCCTGACCGAAACCCAGGTCTGCCCCTTAGGCCTGTTTGTCAACCTGGCTGTGGCTGTTCTCCCCACTGTAACATGAATTAGGGCCACACTTAGGACTACATGAGATCATCTATGGGAAATGACTTCTACATTCAAGAAGCCCCAGCTTCTAGCTTGCCACCAACTGGAAAGGAAGGAAGGGAGGGAGGGAGAGAGGGAGGGAGGGAGGGAGGGAGGGAGGGAGGGAGGGAGGGAGGGAGGGAAGTCGCTAAAAAAAAGTGCTATCCCAAAAGGTTTTCTTTCTTCTTTTTCAAAAGTTTGTTTCAGACAGGAGAGAGAGTGAGCACTTGTGTGCTTGAGGGAGGGGGAAAGAGAGAGGGAGAGACACAATCCCAAGTAGGCTCCATGCTGTCAGCTCAGAGCTCCACGTGGGGCTTGAACTCACGAACTGTGAGATCCTGACTTGAGTCAAGATCTAGTCGGACACTTGTCCGACTGAGTCACCCAGGCACTCCCCATAAAAATCTTCATCAAGGTGTCATGAAAGGGGAAACTATAGAGAAGGCACACTGGAAGGAGACCTCTGAAGGAGGCCACCCAGCACATCCCTTAAAACAGGACAGTGAGGGCTGCCGGTGACGGCACTGGGGGCAGCAGGGGCTCCCGGATCATACTGAGAAGTATGGCCCGTGCACTGTTGCCCCCGAAGCCCGAACCCCAGCCCAGGATGCACAGCCCAGAGAGGATCAACCACTGTCCTAAATAACCTGGCCACCCTTCCAAACAAAGGTGAGGACACTTCCCCGAGGTAATGCCGTCCTCCGCCCCAAAGGCTTTGGGATTTGGTAACCCACACCTCGACCTCCACAACTGGGGACATAAAGAAAGAATAAACCAAGCGCTTTCGGACTCCATGTGTCTGTGTGAAACGATCAGGGATCTACACTAGCTGCCATGCTCACTCGCCCTGTTACGTCCTTACCCTCCTGCTGCCGGGTACCTGCAAGGTGTGGTCAAGGCTGTGGAGAGGGAGCATGAGCAAACTCAGTCTGTTCTCTGGTGGGTCCCCACCGTTGAGCAGGAGGCTGCCATGGAAGGGATATGATGGATTTCCAGAGGGGGGCGGCTCAGGAAATTACATATTCACCTAGTGCCTAAAAGGCCTGAAGAGGCCACTGTTACTGAAATCAACCTTATGGCACCAAAACAGCAAATATAGGAGCCTAATGTGATTGAAATGATGGTTTCGTTTATGTATTAATGGCACTCAATGTCAATGATTTTAACATGATTTTTTTCCTTCTGTCGTTTTTTGTTTGTTTGTTTAGGATTGCCTAATTTGTTGATCTTCAGCTTAAGTGTACGTGGCATTACGGAGATGAAATGAGTTCCTGCTGAGGCCAGTAATTCATTTCCTTATCCATCATTCAGTAAGTATTTTAAGGTTGAGCCTTTCGAAATGACCATCTGCGCAGGTCACAACAGTCAAACGCTGGCAGTGTTGTATTTGGGCAAACTCGGCACTTGGGCCAAGCCTGTGGCTAAAAGCCTAGGGACCTCGTGAACCGTGAACAAAATGAAAAACGCCCCAATTCTCACAGAGCTCATCTCGAAAGGGCAAGATGGAGAATTACCAGAACATGAATGAAGGAAAAATACAATTTTGAAGTGTGACAGGTACTATGCAGAACAAGGGACAAGGTGACGTGACAGAGAGTGCCCAGCAGCAAGGGGGTAGGGGACATTTTCTCAGAGAAGATAGCATGAGGATGTAAGATCTGACTGATAACAAATGGTCAGCCATGTAAATATCCATCTAGAGTCAGGGACAGCTAAGGACAGAGACTCTCAGCCTACAACCCCCAGTCTAGGTCCAGGCAAGGCTATCAGTTACATGGGGGTCAGCAAATAGAGGTCAAGGCCCTCACCCCAACCCATACTTTGACCCAGAAAACCAACTCAGGTGACTTCTAGGGAGTCGATCCAGGTTTTCACCTTCAAACACACTGGGCATCATTCTATACTTAGCAGAAGATGAATAGGTTCATTATTTCATTCACTAACTTAGGCTATTTTAAAATTTTAATCGGTGAACATAACGCTGGAAAATGAGTACATCCATACGCTGCTTTTTTCCAGGGTAAACTGTCAAACAACTTTGCAAAAGCAATATTGCAACACAAAGAAAAATCCATAAAGATGCTCATATTCTTTGGCCCTACCAACTCTACCCCTAGGGAATTTATCCAAGGAAATAATCTAGTTCAACAGAATAAAAATGTTCTCTTTGGAAGAACTCCATTGAGGTGTTAATTGATGCACAAAGGAAAGATAAAACAAAAACAAAAACACCTGGAATTACCTAAATGACTACAAATAGGGAGGTTTTAAGAAATGGTATGATTCACCTGATGAAATAGCATACAACCATTAAGCATTAAAACAAAGATTATATAGGCTTTCAAAAATAAATGCGATATCAGGCTCCTTGGAAGAAGGCAAAAAGGAAGCAATGTGCATATTTTAATGTAAAACATGTCAACAATACCTCTAGGTGAACAAGAACAAGAAAATTGAAAAGAATTGAATCAAGGCCAGTGGGGTGGGGAGATTATTTCATAAGTCCTTCCGAAATACTGTCATTACATCAAATTTTCAATAAACAATCCCTCAAAAATAATTCTTTTCTCTGAACACAGCTATAGAACACAACCAAAACACAAGGGCCTTGGCTCATTCTAACTTTAAATGCAAAATAAAGCCAAATTTGGAGAGGTCTTCCATGTTCTAGAGCCCACAGGCTTGCAGAGGTGGACCTTCTACGAAAGATTCAACTTGGAAGAGTAATGTGAAATTACATGATTTTACAGTAACTTCTCTTTCTCTGCAGAACGTGGGAATGGGGGACTGGAAATCCTGTGTCCTTCAAGTGACTGGAAAGAGCAGCAGCAGAGGAGAACAGGCACCTCAGTACCTCGCACCCTCTGAGGATGGGGCCGCGGCAGCCCCTGAAATCAGCCGCATGGGAGAGGCAGGCGCTGGGGGCACTCACCTTTCACAATCAGCTCAGCGTAGTTAGACACGCCGGAGCCACCGTCGGAGCGGATCACACAGCGGTACTTGCTCACGCTCCGCTGGGCAGTGTCCGCCACGCTGACCGTGGCCGAGAAGCGTCTGTGGTTGACCACGCGGGTGACCATGAGGGCCGTGTCCCTGCCATTCCATTGCTGCAGGACAGAGGGAGGGAGAGGAGAAACCACATCATCACAGGCACCAGGTGATCTCAGCTGGGAAGTGCCACCTGTCCCCACACCCGTGGGGCCAAGGCTTTGCACAAGGAGGAATCTGTGTGGCTGGCTTTCGCAGGTGATCTAATGCAAGTATAAACTTTGCAAGCGAGTCAATTCAAGAAGGCAGGTGCCTAATGGTAAAAGAGGGCACAGGCCTCCTCTCAATACCCTAGTTGTTGGTTGGCCTGCGTCTGAGGTTGGCACTTGGCCCTTAGCCTGCCTCCCATTTTCCTTCATCTCTTAAGCAGAGCCCACAGGGCTTCCCCCAATGACAGACTAGGTTTCAGGTAGGTTCCTGAAAATATAGTCCATGAAGTGACAATCAACAGCCTGGCCCCCAGGCAACATCTGGTGCCCTAATGGCCACACAAAGGCTACCCGTGTCCCCAGGTGTGGTATGGGTGGGAGCTTCCCAGCATTTCTCCTCCTTGGCATTTGCTGTTTCCTCTGCCTGGAATTTCTTGTCTGCCTGGGGACACTCCCTCACCCTTAAAAACCCACACTCAGTCCATCGCCATCTCTAGAAAGTTCCCCTGCCATACCACCTTCTAGAAGCTAGTCACTCTCTTATGGTGCAAACTTTCCATGCATTTTTGCCTACACGTGTTTCCCACTGGAGATTAGACTATAAGCTCCCATATGGCATGACTTTGCCCCTTTCATCTAGAGCACTGTGCCGACCTCTGGATTTGGTAAACATATCTAGAATCAAGATGGACACAGAAGCATTTCTGTCTGCACCATGGTGAATCTCAGGTGTGGTATTCTGAGTCTGAATGAGACCCTTCTGCAGCAGCAAGTCAAGATAACTGGTAAGGCTTGTGCATGAGGATGCAACTTGTGTGAATATTAAGCATCTATCATGAGCCAGACCCTGAATCTCCTCCTTAATCCTCCCGGCCTCACGTGACGTGTGTATTACTGTTGCTCTTCTTAGCAGAATCCAAATGTCGGTGTGGCTGAGTCAACAGGCAGAGTCTGGAAGTCCCTTAGCCACCTTTTCTGACTTCAGGCTAAGTATCTTTTCACCGAGACCCCATCCTCACTGCCTTTATTTAATTTCTTTTCCAAAAGTAAAATGGATTGCTTTAATTGTCTTCTTGGATTTCAAAAAAACCTTAGGACTATGACATTGTGCATGCCCGGAAACTTGCATGAAACAATCTTCACTTCCTGTCCAAAGTAAGTGCTTCCAGCATACACACGAGCTCCCATCCATCCGCGCCCCCATCAGGGATATGTCAGAACTGAGATGTGAGAGGGAACTACCGTGCTCAGCTGTCCCAAGGGAATGAGACGGAACAGCAGGGGAGGGCAGTGAGCAAAAGACCAAGAAACACAGAGAAATCGAGGTCTCCGTGTGACTTGCTCTAGACTGGACTGGGAGACTACAGGTAATGGTTTTCTTTTTTACTTTTTGGCATTCTCTAGACTTTCTGCCTCAAATATGGCTTTTATACTTAAATGTAATAAAATAAAAGGTATTTTTTAAAAGGCAGCAGGAGGGGCAGCCATCACCCCCACCCATTCCGGGGAGTGAGCGACACACCGGAACAAGAACAATGTGAGGTGTCCACCGAAGGGAGCACTTGGCAGGGCTGAGTCTGCCCACCACCTGCCTCAGGCTCCAACACGGTTTTGGAACAGCTGGAACCACTTGCTCAAGTCGTGAGAACTGACTGGACACCAGACACAAGTCCCTCTCCCAAAACAGTGCAGGGAGGTAGAAGACATTCTGGCAAATGCCAGGAATGTGTCCTCATTTGAGGAAAAATTGGCTGAATGCACAGAAAGGCCTCAGAAGAGATGGATCACCAAAAAATTTAGCCCATTTTCCTTGTTGCTCTGATGACATTCTGGGTGGGTATTTTCCAGCCTGATTGACTTATATCACCATAAAGACTTTGATCTCTTCTGTCCTTTAAAAAAAATTTTTTAATGTTTGTTTATATTTGAGAGGGAGAGTGTGTGAGCAGGGGAGGGGCAGAGGGAGGCAGTAACACAATCCAAAGCAGGCTCCAGGCTCTGAGCTGTCAGCACAGAGCCCGATGCAGGGCTTGAACTCACGAACCCTGAGATCATGACTGAACCGAAGTTAGATGTTTAACCAAATGAGCCACCCAGATGCCCTTCTCTTCCTCTCTTTTTAAGCTAACAGTGACTAGGCACTGTTACGGGCTAAGTGGTCTCTATTCCTTCTTCATTAATTCCCCGTGACAACCTGTACGGTGGGCACACTTATTATCTCCATTGTTTACACGAGGAAGCTGAGGCACAGAGAGGCACCTGCCTAGGCTGGCACAGCTTGGATCTGAATGCAGGCCACCTGGCGTCAGGCTATGGCCTACAGATACCATACATTGCTCTAATGTGGGGTGAGTATCCCCTACCCTCATTCCCAAATGTGGAAGAGGGTAGGTAACAGGCATAGCCAAGATCCACCTATTTGCCACCAATTTCTTAGCTGAGGACAAAAAAAAAGGCGAAGACAGGGTAAAGGAAGGGACATCGTACGAGGGACACAAGCAAAAATGCATATGTTCCTACCAGACAGCCCATCAGACACAGAGCTTTACCTCTGACCTCCAATGCTTTGACCAGCAAAGAAATGTGGGGGGGGGGGGGTAAGAAAGGAGACACTGAGAGCAAGGCCAACACCTGAACTCCACAGATTAGGAGCCAAGAGGTAAGCGGGGAAGGAAAAGTACTAAGAAAGATAATAAACCTCAAAAGAATTACGGGAAACAAACAATGCCATTTCAGGATTCACAAGGGCACGACGAGTGAACAGCAGAATCAAGAGTGTATAAAAGCAGTGATGGGGGGTGGGGTGGGGAGTGGACAGGCTTGGGAAAATAACCCAGATCGCAAAAAAGGCACAGATAAAAGGACAGGAGGAAGGCAAATTGATGAAGAAAACAGACACCAGACAACAAAACACCAGATAAGTAACTGGTACTCCTGAAGACGGAAGCTGAGGGAACGGAAATCAAATCATATCCCAACATCTATCGGCTCACTTGCCTGGATGAAAATGAGACCTAAATCTTCAGACTGAAATGGCCTACCATCTACTTGATAAAATTTATGAAGACCACAACAATTGAGGTACACATTTTACTTCATAAAAATATTGGATGTTAAGGATAAAGAAGTATGTAAGAATCCAGGAGAAAAAATAATGTGCTGATAAATAAACAAACCAATCTGGCATAAAACCCCTCCTCCGTCACTGTTCCCAAAGCCCAGGCAGCCTCTCTCCTGGATGTGGCTGGTTCCCCGGGGGTCACAGGTGAGCTCCCAGGAGGCCAGGTATTTGAGAGATGGCAGGGATGGAGCTAAAGACAGGATAGGAAATGATAAGACAAATGCAAGCAAATGCCCAATTCGTGCAGGCTTGGGCTGTGATTTCCCTTCTCTTACCTTTGATCTCTTCATACCTATGATGGGTTCTATATTGGTGCCCACTTTATGACATCATCGTGATGGATAAATGAGAAGGGGTACCAAACACTTAGCACATAAAGGCGTATTCTGGTGGGAGCAGAGCTCTCCAAATTAACCACGATAAGTGGGGTATGCAGGATAATGGCTCCCTAAAGTGTCTATATTCTGACGAAAGGAACTTTGACTAAACTGATTGCCAGAGTGACATTAACTGATGGCTTGATGATGGGGGAAGGAGTCACCAGCCAAAGAACGCAGGCAGCTTCCAGAAGCCAGAAAAGGTAAGGAGTGAATCCTACAGACAGAAGGCAGCCCAACAATACCTCCTTTTAGAAGCCATTTCTGACTTCTCATCTCCACCACAAGGTAATGAACCTGTGTTGTTTTTAGCCACTAAGTCTGCCTAATTTGTGACAACAGCAATAAGAAACTAATACAAACAACCAAGGGCTGATTAAGTGCAAAACATTCCTCTTTTCACATTTAGTTCAAATTTTATTTTAAGGTGATCTATTTACTTTTCTTAATGATGTCAGATTCCAGCAGAACCAGAGAAAAGGAAGTGCATCCCCTGAACGATTCACATTTTTCTCATTAGTTCCTGAACTACCAGGCTTTCTCCCATCGAAGGATAGGAAATTGCAGGTTGTCTTATAAAATCTCTGGAAAAATAGGCCTTTTGATAATCACACTTGTCATATTGGGAGCAGACGACAGCAGGACAGGAATGGGCAGGAGAGCCCAGAGCCATGATGGGAAATGGCACTGTGATGGACCCCAGGCAAGGAGGAATGAAGGTTAAGTTCAGAGAAATGAGCCCAGACGGAAGGGCAAGTAGGTGCTGGAAGTCAAGCCATGAGCAGCAACCCAGGAGCCGAGATCAGGAGGGATTCTAGAAGAGCCGGCATTGTGACAAGCTCAGGCCCCACAATACGGTGGCAATGTGAAGAAGGGATTGACACAGAAGGCATACATAAGCAGCACAGGTTCCAGCCACTGTCTCAGCCCCAGACACAGGCAGAAAAGAAAACACAAAGGGAGAAAAGAAGAGGAGGCTTCATCAAACCAGGAACAGACTTACAAGCCCCTGAGCAGGTTTGAGTTGGCACAGGGAGGGCAGGGAGGGATGGAGCAGCAGAATGCCAAGAACCTGAAGTGGACAGCAGCCCAGGGACAAGGTGGGAGAGGAAATCCTCCCAACCAAGACACCAGGTGCCATGTGAATGCATAGGGATGCAGATGCCAGGGTGCTAGGAAAGAGGGTGACAGAAAAGAGAAGCCAAAGTCCTAGGAAAAGCCTGGCATAAGCATGGCATGGATGATGCAGGTGGAAGCCTGGGGAAGAATCCGTGAGATCCCCAAGGGGTAAGATCCCCACGTCACCACTCTCGCAAGCTGGAAATTTCCTTTCGGCTCCTATGCTAAGTATATACCTTCCTCTGAAATTTCAGGCACACTTCCTTTCTTCTGTCAGACCTACATGAATTATT